GTGATTCAGTTTGAAGCAGTTTATAAATTGGAGAGCCATCCGTGGGAAGTTAAAGAAGCCATATAAACTCTCAAGTGAGACACAATTATTTGTCGTTAGCAGAGAGAGCGTTGCACGGAGATTTTTGCAGTTACCAAGGATAAGATATTTTGGTTGAATGGAAGTCCATGTGTCTGGAAGTCTTTCAAAACTTTCTGGAAGTCTTTTCCACTTAACATGGCTGGACTTGAAGTATTCTACGAGTCTTACACTTGTTCCAGAGTTGCCACCAAATCTTCCCTACTTAGATGCACAGGGTTGTAGCTCACTGAAGACAGTTGCAAAACCGGTGCCCCGTATCATGCCGACCGTGCAGAGCCATTGCACTTTAAATTTCACCAATTGTGATAACCTGGAGCAAGCTGCATTGGATGAAATCACATCGTTTGGTCAAAGTAAATGCCAGTTTCTATCAGATGTTCGTAAACACTACAATGAGGTCTCTCTCTATATCTAATTCTCTCTCCATGTGGCTTTCTGTATCCCTCTCTTTGATTCTTATATTAAAAGGAAACTCCACAATTAATGATTTTCCTTTTCTATAATGTTGCAGGGTTTTAGTTCAGGGGCTTTGTTCACCACTCGCTTTCCTGGATGTGAGGTACCTTCGTGGTTTTGTCATGAAGAAAGAGGATCTCTGTTGCAACGAAAACTCCTCCCACATTGGCATGACAAGAGCCTTTCAGGGATAGCTCTATGTGCTGTAGTCTCATTCCTTTCTAGCCAAAATCAATCAGCAGCTTCTCGGTGGCATGCACCTTTACGATAAAAGTTCAAGAAAAGTCTTGGATCCCCTTTACTTGCCAGGTAGGAAGTTGGGAGGGAGACAAGGAAGACAAGATTGAGTCAGATCATGTTTTTATAGCCTACATTACTTGCCCACATACGATAAGGTGTCTCGAAGATGAGAACTCTGATAAATGCAATTTTACTGAAGCCTCTCTTGAGTTTAATGTGACTGGTGGTACAAGTCAGATAGGAACATTCACGGTGTTGAGGTGCGGTTTAAGTTTGGTGTATGCAAAAGATAAAAACAAAAACAGTTCTCATGAGGCAAAGTATGATATGCCTGTTGAAGTAAGCTTTCAAGAACCTCAACAGGGGATGAAGGAGGAGCAAAGAAAACTTAAAAAGCAAGAATTCATGATAGACGACCAAAGAAGAAGCGAAAAACCAGAAGGTGTGTCTAGTGCCACTCAAACTTGTGGTGCAAGTGTAACCCCAAGAATGGAAGATCTCCAAGCAAATGGTTGAAAATCTCCAAGGTGGGATGATTATGTTTCAGGTGAACCAGATTCTTACACAAACCTCCAAGTAGTAATAAAAAAGATTGTACATTAAAAATTTCATGGTGGCGTATTTTTGTAGAGAGAGACATATATTTCATTGGTGGAGCAAATCTTTCTGGAGCAGTTGGTGTTCTTTTTGCTATGTAATGCTAAAGCATCTGCTTCAGCCAAATGACCCTTTTTGGCAGAGGGTTTTTGTTTACCAAAGCTTCTCTTTTACCATCATTTTACTTTATTGTGAATTCAGTACTGTTCACAGGATTTCCTGTCAAGTTACAGAGCAGAAAGGTAATCACTTATTAGAGACCTTAATTTGTTGTTGCCGGTTCAAGTTAATTTCATGGTCTTATTTGGTTATCAATTCTTTGTAAGACTCTTTTTTACGGTTGAATAAATAAATATTTTTTCACAATTCTTTCTCAAACTGATAATCTGAAATGGTCATCCTTCTTTCGCGTGAACATTGTTCTAATCCATCTATTAATTGAGCTCTGCAACCGTCGTTTGAAGTCTAGCTTCTCTGTTGTCATCTTTCAGCTTTCAAACTGTAGTACAGGTAAGGTCTCTGTTCCATGAGAAAAACCTTTTCAAGTGTTCCATGTCCTCATTAATGTTTGGGAAACACTGCAGATTTGAACAGCCAGAGAGAATCAGTTATTGAAGAGATTTCAGTTTCAAAAGATGCCTCAACCTGCAATATTTCTTTAAATTCACCTCAGTTAGGTATCTGAGGCTCTCTATATGGATTCAGAATTTTTTTTTTGTTTGCCGTCCTAGAAAAGGAACTCAAGTCTTGTTTATTGTGAAAAATGTCCTTGAAGTTCTACCACTACCTACATTCCAGAACTGCAGGCTCTTATCGGGAGGGTACAAATCTAAACAGTTTTTTCAAGAGTATTGAGAAATCTAGGATTATAAGCTTGACATTGATCTTTCAGCGGACCTTATTGCCAAACTCATGTTTCGTAAAGAAAACTCAACACCACCTGTGCTTCATTGCTCCGTTGAAGCACCAAGCTCTTCAGGCAATGGTGGGTCTTCAGGTTCAAGGGTTAGACTTCAGGTTCCTAAACAGGAGACTGAACCCTTCGTGAACCCATCAGCCTATGGTTGGTTTTAAGTTCTAACATCAGAAACTCATGATATGTTACGGGTCTAGTAGGAACCAAATTAGCTTGTACTAGGTCTTAGGCTCTCTCACGCTTATAAATAGGCTTGTTCCAAGTTGGTCTCTTTAGTTGTATCTACATAGTAAACGATCTTGCTTGTCTGTTTGATAAACTTGTTCCACTTTTGGTTCTTGTTATCTCTGAAGCTTGACTTTTATTAGAGAGGGTAAGTACTCAAGTAGCTATGTCACTGCTCTTTGGGTTGTTTTATGGTAGCGTGTTGGAGAAGGTATATATACATAAATGATTAGGGCTTTGCTTGCCATTCCAAACGTAAACGAAAAGAGTTCCCATTTGTGAGCTCTAAGCATTCAACCATTGAATTGAGACCGAGCCGCTTGAACCAAACTGATAAGGTCCATCAATGCTACTATCGAAAGAGGAAGAGAGGAGAAGTCAACGTGGTCAATGCTGAGATACAGAATTCGTCACAGGTGGCAAGTGGCTAAAGGGAAGGAGCGAAGCCTTGGGTCGTATCAGAGGGTTTCAACTTCTCTGAGTCAATAAAAGGAGCCGTTGCTCATCTCTTTCATTCATGTTTTTTATGTGTTGTGTGTGTTGCTGAGCCTGCGTGCTAGCTGGGAAAACGATCGTCATGAGATCGTTCCTTTAGATCCGTTTTGTAATTCTCCGTTACAGAAACGATCGTTTTTTTTTTCTCTGTTCACGATTTGTGAGTAGAGTAATAAATTGATTTGGTTGATTCTCATTTTTCTGGGTTTGTTGAGTTTGAGATAGATCTAAACTCTATCACAAACCGAACCAAAACTAAAGCAATTGTAAATATTTGAAACGACCTAATTGAACCAAATTTATTATCACTCATTTTTACACCAAGATTCATCAACTGTTTTTATAGAAATTTATTGGAAAAATACTAAGAAACATCATTTTGAAAAATTATTTGAACTCAAAACTTTTTTATTTTTGGTAAATGAATATAAATTTTTTTGTTGAATATTAAATGAAATTTCCCAAATTTATTAAGGAACATGTGATGAATTATTAATGTTCCAAAGAAAAAGATCTCTTTTTGCTGTCAAAAAAAAAAAAAAAATCTCATTTTGTTCAACGAACCAAAAAAAGACATCAATTATTGATATTAATGTAATACTATGGTTTTGACTTGACCTGGTTGGTTTTCAACTTTTTTTCTAAATACCGAACCGAAATCACAATGCACTTCTTCTATGAAGTAATGAAAGTATGAAACCAATCAAATAAACAAAACTAAACCGGATAAAATTGATTCGAACTCGGTTTATTTACACCTGACATGAAGATGGCCACGTAAACCAACATGATTCGTTTCGTCGTAACCAGTGAAGAAGCTCGAATCAAACAAAAGAGAGAGAACAAAAAAAAAAATCAAAATCTCCGGTGATTCAGGAACCGTACGTCGGAGATTGTTAAACACGGTGAGGGAAAAAAGATGGCGGGACAATCAAGAAAATGGATGATTCTCGTAGCGACGATCTGGATTCAAGCATTCACCGGTAAATATAATATTGAATTTTCAGATAGAAAATGTTATGTCTATATGATATTATTTGAATTATCTTTCATATGACTATATGAGCTTAGTCGATTAGTATCTTGGGAAGGAATGATTAATTTCTTGGATAGAAGATTGTGATCAAATACAACATTTTGTTAGGAATTTTTTTTCTATAATTGTTGTAATTCTCACCATCTCTCTATCTTTCACTCTTTCTTGTACGTTTGTGTTCACTTGTTCTAGAGAGAAAACAAGAACACATTTACTTTAATTGTCTACATTGTATTAACTTGGATCACAAAGATGATTCTTACAAGATACAACACACACATACTTATACTACTTTACTTCTACTTTCTACATACACATATATACTTGCACTTGGACCTTACTCCTAGTTCTAGACTCTCTTACACAAGCAAGGTTGCCACCCTACACATTGACATTGGAACACTAATTCCTTGATTTACTCTCTCTTTTCAACTCACAAAACACAAACCTATTTGGTTTGATGACTTTCCTTTCTTCCTTTGACTCTTCTCTTCACGATGTCTCTTCTCTGACATCGTCTTCTTCTTCCGATGCTTCTTCCTCTGTTCTTCATCTTCTTCTTCTCATGGGTTCTTCTTCTCTTTTGCAAGTTCAATCAAGGATACAATTCCAACAATAATTCTTGGTTCTTTCAAAACTGCCATTGTCTTACCGAACTTGCGACTAAAGTATGAATTTTGTTGATGTTTGTGGCAGGTGTTTCTATGTTGTTTACTAGCTGGGCTAAGTATATGTTGGTTTAACACAGTCTGCTTTGTGCTCTGCATCAGAAACTTTCCTGCAAACAGATCACTTGCTCTTTCTCTCACAGTGAGCTTTAATGGCGTAAGTGCTGCTTTATACACTCT